GGCGGCGCCGCAGGGGGCAGCGGTGACCCCAGCACTGACCTTGCGACCCACCCGAGACCCCCGTGGCACCGGGGGCTGGGTGACCCCAGCACTGATCCCGCTGTCCCCCCAGACACCAGGCACACCCGCGAGCCCAGACCCGACCCTGCCGCCGCCCGTGACACCAGTGCTGACCCCGAGACATCAGTGACACTAGTGCTGACATCGCCGATCCCGAAACACCAGTGACACCAGTGCCTCCCAGTGTCACCATCACCTCCCAGTGACACCAGTGGTTCCAGTCCCCCATGACACCAATTCTTCCCAGCGACAGCAGCATAACGGTGACACCAGCAACACCAGTCCAGTGATCCCAGCACCTCCCAGTGACACCAGGACCCCCCAATGACAGTAGTGACATGGGCGGCTCCAGTAACACCAGGACCTCCCAGTGCCACCAGGACAACTGTCATTCCAGGGCCTCCCAGTGCCACCACCGGTGCCATCAGGGCCTGCAGTGCCAGCAGTGCCAGCAGGACTCCCAGTGTCCCCAGTGCTCCCAGTGTCCAGACAGACAAGGCTGCCAAATCTGGCCATTCCGGCCCCGCGATGCCGCTTTCCATCCTGGCAGCCCTTGTGTTGCCATGGCAACCAGCAGCCCTGCTCAGCCATCTGGGTAACTATGGCAACACAAAAAAGTACCCTGCCCCCTCCCTCCATCGCCGGGGAGGGGGCGGGGGGCGGGGCGCAGCCAAACCTCCCTTTTCCTCCCCAAAACACCCGCTCGGGCCCTTCGGCTGCTCCCCCCGCCCGGCGCCGCTCCGGCCTCAACTGGGAGCAGGCGCTGGAAGTGCCGGCTCATTCCCGAAACCTGGTCAGCCCCGAGGCTGCGGCAGGTGGCTGCTCCGTTGGGAGTGATGCCGGCGGGAGGCCGGAGCTGCCCCCAGGAAGCGTCACCATCCCGCACAATTCACAGCTCGGGATGCAGAGCCTGGCTCCTTCTCCCACCCGGAGACGCGGAGGTGCCGCTGGCTCCCTGCCGTCGGCTCGGCACCACCGGCCTGCTCCACGCTGGGTATTTTTGATACCAAGGATGCTGAAGCCCCGGGAGCAGGAGCACCGGGATGCCGGGAACGCCGGGATGCAGCTGCAAACCTCCCGGCTCCACTCCGGAGCACAGCAGGCCGCTGCGGCCTCAATGGAGCATGTGGGTGCGCGCGGCCGCGAGCGCCGCTCACCTGCGACGCGCACCACGGCGCGCTCGGCCGGGTCCAGCACCGAGTCCTGGCTCTTGCGCTTCTTCTGCTCGTGCAGCGGCAGGTTCCAGGGCAGTGTGTCGCCGGGCGGGCAGGGCGAGAGGCTGCCCGAGCGCTCGCTGCGGCACGAGCGCTCGCTGCGGCACGAGCGCTCACTCCGGCACGAGCGCTCGCTCAGCGTCTCCTCGTCCGAGGACGACATGGCCCCGGCCGGCGCTTCCTCAGCGGAGAAACCTGCGGGAGCGGCGAGCGGCCGGTGAGACGGGGCTGGCGGCGGCTCCCCGCCGCCCTCGGCATCGCCGCGCACTCCCCGCACGCTAACGCTGTCGCCAGCCCCGCAGCTTGGGCTCTTTGTGCCGCCATCGCATCCCGCTCAGTACCCGGCTGCTTTTGGCCCTCTCCAAGCGGGAGCCGTTTCCAAATCCCTGTAGATCCCTGGGGAAAATGGCAGGGCTTCCAGCATGTGAGCGCAGAGCCCGCGAGCACCTTGCCGGAGACCTAGTTAGCGCAGGGCGCGTTGCAGCCGCTCGCCCCGGCAGGGAACACGCAGGCGGGCGGAGGGAGATTCCCCCCGCGCCGGCGGAGCCGCTCGGAGCATCCACGGCAGATCGGGAACAAAGAGACGGGGAGAAACCGGGGCGGGGGGGGGGCGGCTGCTCGAACCGCTCGCTCTCAAAACGCGACGCAGCCCCGCGGCTGGGCGGCGGGGACTGGGGGCACTGGGGCTGGTGCGAGCGGCTCGCGGGGGGCACTGGGGGCACCGGGAGCGGTTGGGCCCGCGGCAGGTACCGGGGCGGGAGCGGCTCGGTCGCCCCCCGCCTGTGCCCGGGGGCTGCCTCCGTCTCTCCCCTCGTCCTTCCCCCCTCGGCCCCGCAGCCGCCGCCCAGACCCGGGGCCCCCCCGGTGCCCGGCGCCCCGCGGGGCCTTGACCGCCCCTGCCCTTCCCCGGTCCGTTCCCGGGCCATTCCCGCTCCATTCCGGGCCCTTCCCGGTCCGTTGCCGATCCGTTCCGGCTCCATCCCCGCCGCATCCCCATCCCCGCCGCACCCCGGGCCCTTCCCCACCTCGTGCCCGGCCGCGGCCGCGCTGTCCCCGCCGCGGCGGGGGCGGTGCCGGGAGCTCTGCGGTCGCGGTCCCGGTGCGGGCAGGGCGC